ATTCAAAGAGTTTTAAAGTAGCCTGAAATAGAGACCAAAGAAAAATAGCCAAACAAAACCAAAGACATCACAGCCAATCGGCCAGATCTGGCCCGATCTAGCCACGCTATCATTGGTCGACGGCTAGTCACGACCAAATAGCCGAACCCAACCTTTTATGGCCAAGCAATGGTGACTAGATGTTTAGATAACTGCTGTCAGGCTGTGCATGTGATCACTGCTAGACAGCTAAATCATGTCCAAACAGTTGGATCTGGCAACAAAAACACTGTAAGCTGTGGCGGCAAAAGGTTTTTGTGTTCTGTTTGGATATTTATGGGTACTTGAAAAATTTTAAATCAAAAACTCAAAATTTCTCGGTCCTTAAATCTTGTATTCTGTTTAAATACCGTATTATGTTAAACTTGAAGAGCAGAGCAAGAACGATAAGCACATCGGATCTTTTGTTGGTTATTCATTTCATATGAAAGCTTAATTATTAGTGATGGCAATGCTCAAACACCTGATCTGAGATTCATGTTATGAATTTACTTGATGAGCTTTGTTTTATTCATTTTTTTAATTTTATATAGAACGCACATCTCTGTTTTTCGTGTAAACCAATTTAAACCAATTTTCGTTCCTCTCCTTTCGATTTCAAAATTCTTTAAATGATAAATATCACTTAGGTGTATCAATTAGTCAATTACAATCAATCTTGGATTTTTTTGCAACTTATTAAACAATAGGAAGTTCAATAACATTTTACACACACATGACTTGTTGTTTACCAAATGAACGATATGTCGTTTTGAAACACAGAATGACGACTTTTACGAAAGGAGAAATGTCACTAAAGTGAAACGATGTTGTAGAATAAGAAAAAAGTCGTCGTTTATACCAAGAGAAAAGGTGTCGCTTAATGGGTATCATAGAACCGACGTCGCTTAAAAGAATCTCATTAAACCCCAAATGGCTAGGTAAATATCTATAACGCCCCTATTATTGTGACAACACTTTAGGTAGAATAAAGCGACATCGTTTTGTTAAATATTCATTAACCCCTTTATGGTTTAGTAAATCTCTATAAAGCCACCTTTTCAGGATTCCAAATGGACTTAACTAATATTAATAGGATGGATTTAACTGATATTTATCATAAGAACATGAACAATGTTTGCTGTTTGTACTAGATGACGCCACTTTACGAAGACGTAAATCATGGATAAAAACCATTAAAAATTAACAGCAACGATGATTCTCTTACAAAAAGAAAAAGCAGCATGCTAGCTTTTGTTTATGTCTTGCATCTTTCAATGGAGGATTAGATATTTCAATAACTTAATTAATTTCCCCCATTTTGAATTAAACATTAATTAATTTAAATCAGTAATATCATTAGATGTCTTTATTGTTCTTTAAATTCCCCAGATATTCTTTCGGTCTTCTCCCCTAATATGTGAATGTTTATTCTATTTTGTGTCTTATATTTTCTAATCAAGTTTACTCACTTCAAATATACAATTTGCAGTAGACTTGAACGTTACGAACTTTGATGTCATCCTCAGAGATACTCTGGCTACTTACATCGTCGTTGAGTTCTTCGCTCATTGGTTAGTAACGTTTAACTACAAGTTAATTAATTAATTAGTTAATCTGATGATGATATTGTTATTATATTTTTTCATTGGATTATTAGTTGTGAACTATTTTTAATGAAATTAATCACTTTAGTTATGTAGTGTTTGGCTTTAATTGGTTGAGAACAAGAGTGACCATTGTTAGAGTCATGAAAGCGACTCTATTTTGTTAATAAAAAGATCATATGTGTAATTTAATTGAAGTTATATTGAGACAATTAAAAGAAATTATGAATTTATGTATAAAAATCATATTTTGAGTTTTTCTTACTAATTTGACATGTTTGGATTGAAATTTGAGATTGTGTAAGTTGATATTAGGATGTGATTTATTTTCTAGGGTTGATGTTGTCTCATTTATGTTGTTAAACACTTGGCATTGATTTTGTCATTTTTCAATATGCAAGGACCAAATGGATATTTGTAGTAATGTGTATAAATTGCAGGTGAAAGGTCGCAAACAGGGGCAGCCGCGAAGGGACCTTCACCCACCGTCGGAGTTTGGTTGCCGGCCGACAACCTTTCATCTTCCAGGTCAGCGACTCTTCGCCTTCTCACGCCAACTAGTCACTCTCCACTGTCATTCACCCACGCTGGCGACATACCACCATTTCCGCGCCGTGACTCTTCATCTTCCACCAGAGTTTGCACTGTTTTCGATGCCGATTGAGCTTCTTTTGTGCTGGCCATCACCCCATCAATTTCCACTCACATTTCTGCCGTCGATCTACCCTTTTCTGGCAAGATCCATCACCTTGATCCAATGACTCGACTTCCCAACGCGATTTCACTCACTTTCCGACGACCTTTCATCTCCCCAGGACTTGATCCAAACTCCCCATCACCTGAGCTTTCCATCAGTACCTTCGGATCCCATTTCTACCACCATTTGCCAAAAGACCCACCGGAAAACTAACGTATTCCAGCGAGTGCGACTATGTGTATTTCGTGCTATCCGTTAGTCGTTTTTGCTCCTTCTTTGCATCATCTCATTTTCGGTTACGTCCTCTTTGCCATGATAACTCCGTTCCCGACGTTCCAACCTTCGTCGACACCACCATGAGCGGCTGAGCCCCTAGTTGCCTGTTACGGTGTAAGGAGATCAGGATCGACACTCATGGATCTTCTCAGCAGTTCTCGACTAGTTTGATGGCCCGAATGTTGGATATTTGGTTAAGTTTCTTGTATTCAGATTATATTTGTTTTCATTTCAGTTTGTTTGCGATGCTTTAATATTATTCTGATGCTCGACGTGTTGAATTGATAATGTCCATTGAGAACATTTGTTGATATATAACTTTTCGCATAATTGAATGTTGATTATGACTTTGAACTGCTTCGGTACTGATTGCAATCAAGTTGTATTAGCGTTTAATATCATTTCTACTAGGAATGCATTTGTTCTGTAATTAGTTGATTGGATGATACAAGTTGATAGGTTGTACTTGTTAACATTGTACCAACCAGTGGTGTTTAAGGGTTTAGCATTTTTCGGTTAGTCAATGATAGTCTTTAACCAATCGATTTGTAACTAAGACGACAGGGAGACAAGATAGATTATACCTAGATTGCCAGGAGATATTTTTATTGATTTGCCTAGCCTTGTAGATTTAGGAAATTGAAGAGCGAGGAGAGGAATTGTGAGAGTTGGTCTTAAGTCAAACCGAACTTGTAGTGGCAACGCTTTTAATATTGTGTTTTAGTTAGCAATTTATTTGATGTTTTTAATTTCCTGCAATTAATTAGTTTCCTTAGTTTTAATCAATCAATTTGCTAATTTCTCTTTCGTTAACTCAAATATTCATTAGATCGTTAGTCTTGCTCTTTGTGGATTCGACCCTGCTTACCGCTAACTATGGTATTTACGATTAATTTTGTGGCCGTGACGACCGGTTCGACAACAATGCACATGGGAATTGAAGATGATTATTGTTTCAATGGTTTTGTAGGTTGTGAAAATCCAAGACTTTTTTGGTAAATATGGTAGCACATATGGGAATTGAAAATGATATATACGGTGGTTTTTTGTTGATAGATTTTTTTTGTTTTGAATGATTAAAAAGTATTAACTATTGTTTGAGGGTTCCTATCAATTGATATCAGAGCATGATTTTGCACCTACGTGACAATGCACGCGTGGCAAGCTGACATTTGGCCTAGGCTGCTACCCCGAAGAAAGGTGGATCGGTTCGAGGTAAGGGGATCTGCGAAGTCACCAAAAGGGCGATGTGGACATCAATTGCAGAACCGTGGTGGAATGTTAGGATCCTATATTGCAAGGGAAAGGGGAGGGCATGTGGATTGTAAATGGCTCATGTCATTGAGTATTTCAACTCACCATTTTTCCTTTTTAAACCCTAAACACCACAACCCCCACCCAACCCCCCACCACAACACCCCCCCCCCCCCCCCCTCTTCCTCTTCGTCTTCCAAGTCATCACAGGGATCATGTTGAGCATCATTGCCACTCAGGTTGGGCCCATGCGACATCATTCCATTTCTGTGTAACATTGTATACGTTGTATTTGCTACAAGAATCATGTTTTGCATTATTGATATTGTTCGTGTTTCGTTGTAGTATGTAGACTTGATTACCATTTTTTTTTTTTTTAAAGATTTGCAGTATATATATATGATGATGATGAAAAGAAAAGAAAAGAAAAAGTTTTATAATAATTTGGTCAGAAATGGTTTTTAGCCTTACACACACACTTCTCAGTCACCTGATTCTTTAGGAGCACTTGAATCCTATAGAATAGGAAGTCGTGGGATAGGTCTTGTCATGACCTTTGGACCACTATTCTGAAAACCGGACCAGACTGTTCAACCGAATCGGCACCATCTTCGGTCAAGTTTCCCCTGAAAACTGGTAATCTAATCAAACTGGATTGACCCGCTGTTGGACTGTCGGAATAGTGCCGAATCCGGTCCAATCGCAAGTCAATCCTGCCGAATTCTGGCACCGTTCAAGGGAGATAACCCCACCATAAGACTTGTCGACATCTCCATGACAAAATCCTTCCATTTTCAGTGGCTGTCGTCCAACCTTTCATGCTCGCTGTCCACCTATTCGCGCAACTGTCGGTCTTCTTTCTTGATTCTGGCAGATTCCGACGTCGTTCGAACTCCCTAACACCACCATAAGATTCATTGGCAACTCTACATCAAAAGCCCCATCATTTTAAACTTCGTTGGCCATCAATCGTCATCGCCGCAACACTCGCCAGTCTTTTTGAGCGACTGCCCAGATTGTAGGTTGTTTTTTGGATATATTTCAAACCTTTAGGGACTCATATTATTTAGGGGTGTTTTTGATGAATTTCAACATTTAGGGACTAAAATAATTTTTTACAGGATACCCATCGACCGGGTCAAGGCCTTTGGACCCCGGACCCAATTCATACTCTTTATCCTTGTTCAATCAAACCTGAGTTTTAGCATACTGCCAAACCAAAAGCGAAGAGGAGAAAGGTATATTTTTGTAAAACGAATTTAATGCAGTAAAACTTATTGAACGAAGATTTGGTCCAGTTGTGTTTATAAAGCCTGTACTGAGCTAACTTTAGTGGCAGTTATCTCCCGTTGCTATTGTATTTATCTTGTTCATCTCTTGTGGATGTCTGCACGTACGTTTCAATAATGTAACAAGTCACTTTTTCGGTTTTTGATTTATGTCATGTTTTTTTCTTTCAAAGGGATTCCCTTAACCAAAATAACAATGTTATTATGATGCGAAATCTAAAACTATAATATTTGTATCCAAAAAAATCTATGTACGTTTTCTCAACTAGAACAGGGTGCTCTACCTACAAAGAGTCGCATCAAAATTAAAAAAGATGCAAAAAATAAAAAAAATAAAAAAAATAAGAACTAGAAAAATACATGAAAATTAAGTTTAAATTATCATGCAAAGTGAAACCAACTCTCATCCATTTCAAAAAATCTACTCATCCACTCCAAGTTTAGAGGCTCGTTATAGCAATCCAAGAACTCATCTCTAGATAAACTATATTTTGAATCCTTATCTGCATTAGAAGTTCCTTCTTCTACACTTGTTTTTTCTGTGCCCAGTTTCACTATCTTAGACTCTGGTTTCGTTGAAACTCTAATTTGTTTTTCATCTTGCTTTATTTTCTTACTCAAATGAGAATTCCAATAGTTCTTGATTTCATTATCAGTCCGACCAGGTAATCTCCCAGCAATCAAAGACCACCTATCCATGTATCAAACCCTTCAACTGGTTAAATTATTGAATCCCACCAAAGAGTAATTAAAATACATGAGTTAATTAATTAATTACCTGTTTCCAAGGAGTTTATGCAGCCTGAGTATCAAGTCCTCTTCTTGGTCTGATATATTGCCTCTCTTGATGTTTGGCCTAAGATAATTCATCCATCTTAACCTACAACTCTTCCCACATCTACTCAGACCTGCAATAGTTAAATCTCCATTAATTTAATTAAGCTTGCGCATCAAACAAAACAAAAATGTGTGTATATGAGACCTGCTTTGGCTGCAACTGATTTCCATCTCTTTGGACCATGGATTTCAATAACCTGTGCCAATTTCTGGTCTTCTTCAGCGGTCCATGCTCCTCTATTAGCTTCTTTCTTGTTGCATTGACTTCTGAGGGGAGCCATTTGCATCTTTATTATCTTTTCCTTCTATGACCAAGCAAATAAGCACACAAAACAAAACGAAGAAGCAGGATGGGGAGGAGGTATAGCAAATGTGTACTGTAGTTTAAAGCTTTTGTAAGTGATATTTATGGCTTAGGGAGTGATGAGATGGGTCCCTTCTATCTAGCTACCTTTCTTTACGCAGAATTTGACACCCAACTAACCATTTATAAATGAGAGCGAGCGAGTTCACAGAATAAAATATTGTCCTAAAAAATCCCGATCTTGTAAATAATTGAAGAATAAGAGAATCTAGCACGTTACAAGCTTATACTGTTATACATATGTACATAAAACTTGATACTCGCGCTATCTCTTATCATCAATTGGATCAAAAGTGGGAACAAAGGGAAAAAGCAACGGATCTCTGCATATCCGATGACTGTCGTTAATCTTAATTTGTATACATATAAATGGCAACAAGCTAACTGTTTTGCTTGCTTAAAAAATAATAATAATAATAAATCTGCTGTGCTTCATGTGATGTGTTCATAATTTATGTCAGAAATGGAATTTAACTGGTGACATAACTATAAAATATTGAGAGGTAAATGATGAAAAACAACGAAAAGGGATAAGCAATTTGAGGTCAACAATAGAGTCAAGCTGCAAGCAGATCAAAACAAGGGTCAAATTCAACATTATGTAACGGGAGCCGTATCACATGGGGAATAATACTGTGTCCAAACGGGGCATTTGAATTATATTATATTTTATTTTATAGGTATATTATATTAACAGAAAAAATCATCTTGAAGATTACTGAGAATATTTAGAAAATATGTTTGGTTCATTCGAATAAATTGATAAATAATATGTATGATTGGGAGGATAAATGGGTGGGTATATTAGCCAGCCACCACAATCGACCGTCGCCGACAGTCGATGGAATGGCGCACGACTGGCTATATATGGCCAGCTGTGCGTTGACAAAGCCGGAAATGGCCATCGATCACAAATCCATGGCCGAAATTCAGCCAAATCTATGGCCATTTCAGGGCCAGATCTATGGTTGTTTCATAGCCAGATCTGTGGCCATTTCACTGCTATATCTTTGGTCGTGAAACGGTCATGGAAACTCTAGATCTGGTCGGTTCCGACCATAGATCCATGGCCAGAAAAGGCCTTACCGAAGCACGACCGGCCAGATCCAGCCAGTCGTGCACCATTACGACGACTGACACCGACTGCCAGCGGTGGTGAGTCACGACCGATGGTGGTCTTAGGTGGCTGGAGGTATTTTGTTAACTTTTAAATTTTTTTAGTTGGGATGTTTTAGCTAATTTCTCAAATGTATGGGGCTAGGCTAATTTTTATCTGGTAGATATTTAAGGGTAATTGTGTCCGAAATGGTTTTTTAATTAAGGGCAAAAAGGGTAGAAAAATCATATTACCCCGGTAATGTTTTAATAACATCCTCTAACAAGGTAATAAGATTATCCCCCACATTACCAACAATAAACACTATTTACAATAAAAAATTACCGTAATATTTTATTACTTAAACCATCTCCAACCACAAACACCAAATTGGTGCAAGTTTCACACCAAATTGGTGTGATTTTTTATGTATTTCACTATTGCATCTCCAATCCATTACACCAAAAAAAATATTCCTTAGAATATTCTCTTTCTATTAATAATCAACAATTAATCTATTTCAGTAATTATTTTTTATATATTAATTAAATATTAGGAATGATGTTTTTATTAAATAATAATTACTTTAAAAATTATACTAAATTAATAAAATTAAGAATTTATTTAATCAAATAAACATTACATTTAATATATGAAAAAACATTACATCTAATATAAAATGCCACAAAAAGAGAGAGAGAGAGAGAGAGAGAGAGACAACAATAACACAAAAGTAAAATTTTATATTAATAGTAATTTAATTTTCTAAACTAGTATACTCTTCCCACAAATGATCAATTAATGCATTTTGAAGAGTATGGTGAGCCTCTGTATCCTTGATTCTCACAAATTTTCTTTTAATTTTAGTGTTTTTAAATTAGTGTTAATTTTTATTTTGAGTTATTGTAATTTAATATTTGATTAAATAAAGTTTTGTTTTTAATTTTTCGTCATTTTTTGAATTGTATAATTATTATGAATTTATTATTATAAATATTAATATAAATAATAATTAAATTAACATAAATACAAATAACAAAAATAAGAAAATAAAATATATTTTATAGTAGATGAATAGTATCATACCAAATTAGTGTGGATGAATAGTGTTACACCAAATTTAGCGTGATATTGTTCACTTACACCAATTTGGTGTAATTTTTTGTGTTAAATTAGAGCACATTTTCTATACACAAAAATGGCATTGGGTTGGAGATACTTTTACAAACCAAACACAGGAATCTTGCAAAAATAAACAAATATTATTCGGTTGTCTTATATACACCCGATCCAAACAGCCCCAAAAGAGTGAAACATGTAAATTTGTGTTGATTGGTTTAAATCTTGCTCCATTCATAGAAAGTCTTATATTAAACACATGCTTCTCAGTATTCATCTGTCAAAAATTTCAGTGTATCATTATATAAATAATTTTATTCTGTGTTTTTTGTCTGCAATCTACAGTGGGTTAATGTCTGCACTTGTTTTAAAGTTTGGGGCCCGACTCGATTCAAGAGATTTGTGAAATAAAAAAATAAAAAAACCAGTCAAATTTAGGTCAAGACTTTATGGTGGTTGGTTATCTTTGTTCTTTATCAATTTGCAGCTCCCAATTAACCCAAAGATCGACCACTTTTTTGTCTATATTCTGTTCCAAAAGTGTAAGGTTAGATTAATCCTGGAATTAAGAGTTTGTGGGTTTTCCATTTTTTGTATAATGGAATATATAAAAGGGATTTATGTAGGGATTAGGTAGAATTGAGAATTACTTTACGCACTTTTATAATAAGAAATAAGTTTTATTAATTAGTTGGAGATTCCATGACCAAATCTTTGTGGATACATATGTATTGGAAGGGCATGTGTACTTTCATACATCTTAATTAATGAATACGCAGCAGATAATCATGATAATTAGTGTACTGGGTGTGGGACAAAAGCTAATGTTTTAATGTTAACAAATTAAATTAGTGTTATCTTTTAGATATTAGTGAAGCAATGTATCAATTATTTGATTGATTTAGTCTGTTTCAGGATCGGTATCCGTATCAGTTAACAAATTATTTGTTTGATATTAATTGTAATTCATCCATTTCTTATACTAGTCAAGGTTATATGACGGTAGATTAAAATGATTTATTTTGTGGAGTTTAAGAATATAAAATTATGTAGGTGCTTTTGGTTTGGGGTCATATAAGATTACTCGGATAATCTTCGTTTAATTTTAAAAATTTCTTATTGGGCGTTTGGATTATATAATGTTTATTATATAAGTATATTATATTAACCAAAAGAAAGATCATCTTCAAGACTATTAGGAATGTTTAGAAAATGTGTTTGGTTGGTTTGAATAAATTGGTGAATAATATGTTTGGTTGGGATGATAAATGGGTGAGTATGTTATATAGATTACTAAATTGCCCTCCTTTTTAAATATTAACATTATGTATTTTTTTATTATTTTTTAAATCGTTTCTTTTAATCCCCTACATTTGAAATTTTACTAAAACACCCCAGCTATAAAAAACTTTAATTTTAGCAAAATCAACCCTACCTACCCCAAGCCACTGCCGGCAGCTTGCCACTGTCGCCGCCACCGTCGACAATCGACGGAATGGCGCACGATTGGCCGTATATGGTTGGTCGTGCATCGGCAAAGCTGGAAATGACCATGGATCACAAATCCATGACCCAAAAGTGGCAAAATCTATGGCCATTTCACGGCCATAAAAATGCCAAATCTAGTAAAAAAGGCCTTATTGGCGCACGATCAGCCAAATCTCACCGGTCGTGCACAATTATAGCGACTGACGCTGGCGGCCGACAGTGGTCATGGGTGACTAAGAGTATTTTGTTAACTTTTAAATTTTTTTATGGCTGTGGTGTTTAGTAATTTCTCAAATGTAGGGGGGCTGGGTAATTATTATTTGGTAAACATTTGAGGGTAATTGTGTCTGAAATAGTTTTTAATTAAGGGCAAAATGGGTAGAAAAATATTCACCCTTGCAACCAAACACACCCTTTATGATATTTTAATTAATTAATTATTATTATAATTAAAATCAATCAATAGATAATAATATATTAACATTTAATTAATAATAATTCATTTAAATATAATCTCACTAATTTAATTTTAACATTAAAATTAAATACAGGCAACAACCTCGGCAAATTTAATTGTACTGTAAGATTACCAAAATACTATTTCATCCTAAAAGATGAAAATACCATCTCACAAATTGATTCTTAAATTATCTTCTAAGTGTGTGACTCGTAGGCTCTTTATCATATCGGCAGTGTATAGTTTTGCAATTAACACCAATTAATCGTCTCATTACACACAGACCAAGATTGGCCCCTAGCAAGGCATCATGGCCACCCGATAGATTCGAATTCAGCGAAACCTTAGCCTGTCAACAATATGGTTACCGTGCAATCAAATCCTTTCATCAACTGTTATCTCATCGAGACTTAGGTACAGAAATAGTGTCAACCTCAGATATCCTTGACATGTTTATATTCAGTTATTGGACAAATGACAAGAATATTAAATTGGATTGACCATCAACTCAATCCAACTGTGGCCACAGATTTAGTGTCATTGTCATTTACTGAATTATCCAGTGAGATAATTTCTCCCGTACCCAGGAGTGATGAATCATTTTGTCGATCCACCATAATCTCGATACACTTCTCAATGTAGTCAATCACTACCGTATTGATAGCTCTGAATAGAACTACTTTGGGCTAATGTCAAACTACACCAATTGATGCACAAGGCGCTCCGATGATCTCAAGTCTAAGGATCACATGCATCACCATCCGTTGGAGGATTTATTCCATAGACACTGAGGTTACCATCCATATGGAATCCTCTGGTGGGTCTATCCAGTGAACTTGCCTCTAGCAAGCACCCATGCGTTGCACCAGGTTGTCGGCAAACAACCTTGACAAGTGAGATCAGTCACT